AGGTGTATGTCAGGCTTATTTGTCTCTTGTGGCAGTGGGGCTTGTTTTGAGATCCAAACAGCAGCTATGTCAACTGGATGCAATGAAAGTCTGTGCTAGGAAACAATGGTTTTCAGAGAGCTGATGGAAGAGTGACTATCACATCAGTTTTGTAGCTTATCACCATACAAACTGTGTTTGTATTTGTTATGGGTTTTCTGTTAGAGGATGTGGCTACAAATCAGAGGTTGGTGAGGAAAGGATTACTCTAACCTCTTTGATTAGAGAAAGTTAAGTGTGTGTCTGCATCAATGCTAGCTCAGGAGCTCTCCCCATGAGTTACTGCTCACAGCATGCCGCTGTGGGACCTTCATGGGGCAGCAGGAGAAGTCATTCCTGTCCTGGGCAAGCAGGCAGCTGCTGAGAGGGTGCCAAAGCTAAATGTAACATGCACTGTCCTGCCCTGCCCATACCTGGTGGGTCTCCCAGCCTGGGGCAAACCACCTCCAGTGAAAGGCCTTTGTGCCCAGATGGGTCTTCACTAGGGGATGTTAACTTGAGATACAGAGGTTGCTTTTCAGTGGAGTTGGTGCTCTACCTGGGGGTAACAGGAGCACTGTCTTGAGTGGGAGTAGCAGGGGCCCATCAGCCATGGGCAGGGAAACAATCCACGTCCTTAGCCCTGACAAAGCTTTGGCTCGGGCTCACTGATGTTATGGAGACCAGCAACTTGTTTCAATCCGTTTTCAGCAGGGTTTGAGCCATGCTCCGTAAGGGCTGTGTGCCTTGGTGAAATGGAGCTGAGCCTGCCAGAAGAGCTACAAGGGCAGAACGGATGGCCAGGAGGATGAGCAGAGCAGAAAAGAAAAGCTGAGTGTAATCTCTTTCCTATATTATTTCACAGAAATATCTTTTAGGCCTTTGGCCAGCAAAACATGGCTGTTTCTCTAGTGAATCCTTAGGTGCAGCAAGGCTTGGCTGGGCAGGCAGGAGCTATAACCCCATGCAGATTTTCATTTCCCTGCTGGCAGCACAGGATAGCAGCCCCTTTATCTGCACAAGAAGTCTGAGCCGGCGCCTCTGAGGTCTCTGCCTTGAGCTCGTAGAAACACAGATACCAAAACCCCATCACTTAAATAGTCAGGGCCTCCCTTCACCTTCAGATAACTCCTATGCTGATGTACACTGATGAGAGAGTTAATGAAACATTAGAGGCAGCAGGGAGAGAGGCCCAGGCAGGAAAGCACACCTGCAGGCACCCTTTCAAGACTCTCTCAGGGCTGACTTTATTGGGAAGGCCATGGTAGGCTTGCAGCTGGACCGGCAGGAACTGGGAGATGCAGAGGTGGTCTCTATGGTTAGTGTAGAAACCTGTTTGGGGAGAGCTTCCTGAAACTTTCTTCTTCTTCGCTGTTTGCAAGGACTTCTCTGACAGATGTGTGCGTGGAGCGTGTCTTGGAGCTGTAGCGATGAGTAGTGATTTAATCAAGTAGTAAAAGTTATTTGCCCATGAAATGAAATTTCCTTGGGGGTAAGTCTAGCTAGGCTGTAAGTGTGGATCTGTGCAGCCTGAGAAGCAGAGGCTTTGTAAAAAAAATAAAAATCAGCAATTGTTCTGGTGCTCAAATGGACTGGAAAAATACCTTGAAGAAATGTCATGAATCAAGTGGAATTGTAATAAAAACAACAGCAACCTGATCACAAATAATTTATGGAAAAATAATAGCAGAGCCAATAGATTTTACAGCCCTTAACAATGAGCTGTATAGCTAATGCCAGCTTGAAAACATGACTGAAAGCAGAATTTGGACCTGTGTGGTTTATCTTCATTACCTTACTTGAACCAGTCACTGAGAGAAAAATGTCACCAACAAGTTCATGCCAGCAGGAAGGCTGTCAGTGAAAACTGCTGAGGCATTGAAGTCAAGTTTAAAGAAGAGAGGCAAAGGGAACAAGCGCATTTGGTCAGGAAATAACAACTTTTTGAATTAAGACATCAACCTGGTGATTGAAGGATATGGCCAGTGTCTTTCCTTGGCCACCTAGGCAAAACGCCATCATTGCTCCCAAGCAAAGACTGGGCTATCGACTGACTCCACCTGTGCTGTGTAACAAGCTGACAAGCAAGATGCAGACCAGTGCCTCAAAATCATACTTTTCTGAACCACAGTATTTTTCACATGCTTTTTTTAAAACAAACAAACAAACAACCCTCCCCCCAAATAAAACACCCCCAAAATCCCCAACATTTAAAATAGATTTCGAGGAAAAGGGGTTTCTTATTCTGTCCTTTGCATCACCCCTATACCAAATCAAGGCTGAGCTAGAAATACAGTCAAATGCAGCAGGAGTAAGAGGAGGTGATAATTCTAATGCTCCAGTCACTACCCCACAGAAGCACCCTTTGCTTACGTGACTGTGTGGGCTTGAGGGAGAGCTGATTGTCATTGACTTAGCTGGCCTGGATAAGGATCAAGATTGCAAATACTGTGAAAAAAACAGCTGTTTTTTTAAGGATCACTCTGTGCTACAGAATATTCAGAGCTCTGCTCTGTTCTTTACCCTCAGCAGACTTTTCATTTTGGCTCCCAGCTACAAAGTCTGGCTCTTTCATTCAGCTGTAATGATTTTTCCCAAAGTGTCAGTCCAAGCTCTGGTGCATTTTCAGTTTCAGCTTATTGCTGTCATATATGTCAGACCTGTGGGAGTTGAACACCAGGGACTGCGTAGAGAGCTGGAGAATTGCAGGGTATAGCTGAGAAACACCTCACACTCCGGTATTTTCCTTTATTTTTACGCTGGCTCCTTTGCCTCTTCATTTTTAATTAGTGGCACATGCTGAAATGATAATTTAAATTCTTTTCAGAAATCAAAAGAATTCCCACTGACAACATTATTAAGTTATAATTACAGCAAAGAAAAAGGTTAATAGGGATTTGAGCCAAATATCTACTCTCCATTAAACAAGAACTTGACTGAACCTGTTTTCCCTTCATTTTGGTAGGTTACTTTAGGTTTAATTGGGTCCAGCATGGCTATACACCTGTGCAAAGGTCCACTGAAAGGCTAAATGGCCATCACCAAGACTATGTATGTTGACATGCCTTGGGATAGATCTTACCTGATCTATGCTCAAGCTGGAATTTGACAAGTAGAACTTCTCTTGGATCTCTGAAAGAAAGATGTGTATTTCAGGGAGTAAGCAGCGCATGGTCAAGTGTGAATATTGTGTGAGAAGGATATGTAGGAGGTGGCACTTTGTTGCAAAGGGAACTTACAGAGTTGGTGGGGAAAAATAATTAGGTTCCTGGGCTACAGCATTCAAACAAAGCCTCTTCCTTTGCTCATGCTGAGCACCACATGCATGTAGAAACATATGCAAATCGGCTTTAATCTACTGTGCGTTTTGCATTTGCAACGAAACGAGGAGGGAAAAAGAAACCTTTTCCTCTGTGTTAGCTCTAAGAGGGCCCATCAACAAGACAACTACTGCAGTGGGTTTGCTCGTTAAAAATGGGTTTTAAAACAATAGAAGGCGTAAGGAAAAAAACCCAGCCCTTATTCTGGGCACCTGCAGGGTGAGCTTCCATGTTTCCCAGCACTGGGTGCTAGATAATGATCTGTTTAAACTCAGTCATGCTTGCTGCAGTTACAGCTGGAGCCCTACAAGGCAAGCGCTTTGCCTTGAAGACCTGTTGTAAGCTGGGTGTTTCTTTTTCCTTTTTTTTTTTTTACTTCTTTTAAACTGCAACGCGTTGCTTAAGCTGTGGTGTGCCTCACATGCAGACCTTTCCCTCTTCCCAAGCTGCACACCATGAAGTCCTGCAGTCCTCCCTCACATCTTGCACAAGTGTTCTTATGGGGTGAGCCTGCAGCCTTTGCACAGGCAAGTGCTCCCACATACTTCCCCTTCTCTGTAATCCATAGCCAGCACAAGGGTCCTGCCTGCGGGAAATGCTGCAAAACTTCCTTAGGGTTGGTTCTCCCCCAGCATTTGCTGACAGCCCAAACCACATGGGGGGATAGATGAGAAACAGGCAAAACTTGGAGGGGGCTGCTGCAAGCACCAGTCCCTTCCTAGGCTGAAATCACAAGTGTACAAGAAGGGACCTTGCACAGGGTGAAAAAGACTGTTTTGCTCCTCCTTTTCTCTGTGTGCTGCATGGCATGCAGGCCAGCAGGCGGCTTCAGCTGGGAGGACTAGGCAACTTGTCGGGGAATGAGGGAAAGACTGCAAGCCATCTCTGGGGGCTCTCAGCCCATACATGGCTACACACACACACACACACACACACACACACACACACACACTTGGAAATAGCCATTACTTCCTTCAGGGAGCTGAAGTCTGCTCTCAAGAGTATCAGTCTGATTGCTTCAACTTAAATTTTAGCTAATGATTTATTTTCAACCTATGAAATAAAATTCAGTTTTTTTCCCACCAGGTTGCACCTTTTTTTTTTGGGTGGGGGGGGGAATGAGGGGGAGTTAGCAATTGCTTTTACTCTCCAGCTTTCCCAGTGCTGAATGTTCTCGGCATTTACACTGTGTGAGGCTCTACAGGTCTACCCAATTATTTGCGGTGCAGTGTAATGCACTGGAGTCTCAAAATATATTCCTACCTCTGGTTTCTTAAGATTAGTGTAAAAAACTCTGTTCTACAGTATCGGAACTCCAGAATATTTTGCTCTTATTCAAGTGATTCTTGACCTGGTGGTCTCAGATGAAGAAATAAATTAGCCGGCCGTTTTGCACAGCCTCCCACCGGCTGCAGCTGATCTGGACTTTGGGGCCACTGGAGACGTGCCTCAAGTCCACAACATTCTCAATACTTCTTGTTTTGTGCTGTGCTCCTTCCACTTCCTTAATGATCAGTGAGAACTGGGGATGTTGAGGTACCTATGGTGTGAAAAACTATTGCTTACTTATTTAAGTGTGCTGTGAAAAGCTCGTCTTTATTTTTGCCTATAACACCACTGCCGAAAACGCTAGAGGCAAACAAGATTCGAAGACCATGTGGGTTTAAGTAAAAAAGAACACACTTTATTTATCTACAAGGCAGTACATTTTCGTATAAAAAATTAAGTGCAGGTGAAGCCGCACCGAATGCTTTTAAGGCAGCAAAGTCAGAGGCTGTTATAAAAAAACCCAAACAATAAAAAAATAAAATAAAATCAGTGTTTTGCCATATTAGTAAAGATTTGGTGTGGCAGTACATAGAACCACATATTTCTACGAACCTGATTCAGTATACAAGACCCAAGCTAGGGAACAATTAGCTAGACATGGAACAAAACAGACAACATGAACACGACAGCAATCTCCCAAATGTATGAAGGTGCAATGCATGCTGTTACAAACCAATGAGAATCAAAACAGCACATCTAGACAAAAAAGAAATCTCCCAGGAACAGTGTTCAAAAATATTGCTTATAAAAAAACAAAAGGGGAAAAAATATAAATGATGTAAAAAAATTTAAAATAAAAAGATCTGAAATGCTAGTGCATAGTCAATCAGCTAACATCAACATTTGTTTTCTTTCCATACAAAGCTCTACTCCTTTTACACTAGCAGCATGTCTACACGCTAAGGTCTGTAGCAGCAAAACACAGTATTCATTTGGCATTTACAAAATTAAATTACTGAATAAAAATATAATTTTTCTCATAAATCTATGTTTCATACAGTAATATTTTTTCAAGCAAGCTAATTACCCTCCCAGACAGAAACACACAATGAATAATGGTCTAGAACCACAACAGAAAAGAGAATTTCAAGAGGCATGGATGTTTGAGCATTCATGATCTTGATCAGTTTTCCCCCTTTGCACAGACTAGCGTTTGTAGTAATGCTTTTCACTTCAGTACTTTTATACCAATGCATTTTGTTCAGTGATTTAAAATACATCTGTTTGAGTACCTGCTCTTTTATTATAAAAAATTTAAAAAGAAACAAACAAACCCCCACCCCTGGCTAGCACATCACTGAAATAACAATACTGGTGTATTAGGTCTGCTTGATCTCCAGAAGTACAAGAAAAACTATCATTATTATAAGTCTGCACTTAAGATCATTAATTACTGATTCAAACTCAATACCTAATAATTTAGGCAAGTATCATTAAAAAAAAAAAACACAACAAAACAATCCTCTTAAGTTGGGTGAAATCCAACAAGAATATACATGCTGAGTGACTAAATGCACTTTGTGCTGCTCCCAACTGTTGTACCACAACAAAGATAGGTTCTTCTCCCATTCATGAAAAGTTTTCATGCAGAGGAACAGGAATTTCCCATTGGAGGCAAAGTGTTCTCAAAACCATAATGCTTCTCTGTCCATCGACCCTTTCACATCACCAGAGTCCGGGTGGGGAAGGCGGTCATGTACTTGCGTGCCTGATCCGTCAGGGCCATCTGATCCTCGATCTTCCCACAGGACGCTGACTCCCAGGCATTGTTCAGATGCTGAATGAGAAAGCAGGCAGAGAGGTTTGGGGTGAACATCATGTGATTTATTCATAGCCTTAGCTGAAGCCGTGCCTGCTCATGATTACATTGCATGAACAGGACACGATGTTGTCCCGTCTCCAGAGAAATTGAATTCTCAACCCAACAGCAAAAAAATATCACCCCCCACTTCTCAGTTAGTGACCAGAGGAGTGGGCAGATCTGATGACCTGCAGAGCGGTACACCACAGGAGCCAGGATCCAAACCTCCCCACTTGCCTCTTAAGTAGCAGCTGCTCTACAAGTCTCTATCTACAGCCTTGCCTTTACGGTGGACTTCACAGTCAATGGCACAGACAGTCTAAAGCCCACAGTTACAATATTCAGTGCTATGACTGCATAGAAATTCCTGCCGAACCTCTATTCTAGAAATACAGCTGCTCTGCCCCTGTGCTCCCTGGACCAACCTGACAACCTTGACAGCCTGCTCACAGCTAGCAAAAGGTCCCATGCTAGAAGCTGCTTTCACCTGTGAGCAGCAATTAGCACGTGCCCGTTTGCAGAGCTCCTCTGGCAAAGGAGAAGGGGGGAATATGGCTCTCAGCAGAAACAGCATTTTTAATTATCATGTAAGCCATTTCACTTCTTGTGGTATTTATAGAGGTTACAGACACCATTTAGTATAATGTTAAAGTGAGATAAACATATCTATGGAGGGCTGTGCACTCTGTATTTATTTACTCACTACACATGTGAGATGTTTCTCATTGCCTTGAGCTATAAACAGTAATGAAATTTCAAAGCTCCTGGAATTTACCAGTAACACACACATTTACACATGCTTTTATTTCTATTGAACTTCTTTACTTACTCAAGTGTGTCTGCCTTTACGCATTGACATATTCCCTAAGTCCTGAATAAAAACTCTTATCATTATATAAAGCTACTGTACGAACACCCTGTATTACAAAAAGGTGCTATGTGGAAAGCTGCCTACCAGTAAGGAGATCCCAGTACTGTTGAATATTGATGAGTTCTATGCTCAAGATCCAAGAGAAATCTTTCTCTATTTTCCTCTGCTTTCAACAAGGATCATCTTTGTGATTCAAGATCTACATTGCTCAACAAGATAGACAAAGCCTTTCTAACATCCAGGACACTGGAGGAAGCATAATTAATAGATTGCAAACCATCTGCTAAGAGCAGAACCCTCCTGGTGAGCCCACGGCTCTTTATGCTGCTCCTTCTAGTTGCTAACTTTGCAAAATGATCCTTACATTATTCTCCAGGCTAAATGTTCAGAGAATGCTCTTCTGACTGTAAACAGTGTTATCTGAGGCATATGGATAGCAAAAGGCTGGGCAACATATGAAGTACAGATAATTTCTCATAACATGCCCTAATCAGGGCACTGGTACAAACACAGGGACCGAGGTTCCCTGCCTTGGAGGGCTTACAACCGAAAATGGATAAACCCAATGAATAAGCAAGCAGTGTAGCCAAGACAAGGGCACACATGTTAGTTCCTTGTAAACTTCTGGTGGGCTTCCCTAGACACAACTTTCTGTTCTCTGTAGACAAGCTCCAAATGTTATCTCTGCTGTTGATGCCTTTTTGCAGGCAGAACTCTGCTGAGCTTCACTGGGAGGTCCCCGAGTGGAGGACCAGGTCAGGCCTCGAATCACTCAGTTTTTGCAGCTTTTTGTGGGACAGCACATCTGTGAAGTGAAAAAACACACCATACACCTCTTTGCCAGAGTGGTTCAACCTAGGCTGGCTGTATACCTTGTGCTGTGGCTGTGCCTAGGGCACATGACACAGCCAATATGCAGGTGTGACATACTTTCTGCATGCCGCAGACATGCATGCGACATGCCGCAGCTTCTTTCATGTTTTGGTTAAACAGCTTCCAGAGTAGCTTTTTCAAAGGCACCTACATCAGCTGGGAACCTACAGCCTCCTATTGATCCTCAGTGGGACTCTGTCACCTGTGAGTATTTTACCCTATTACTTTAGAGGTATTTGCATCAGGGACCAAATTATACCTGCTACAATGCCATCAGTTTTACTTAGAAGCCAGATTTGTTCTCTACACCTCAAAAGCAATTAGTAGTTCCAGAATACCCACCATTTCAAAGGACAAAACCATGTCCAAACGGTATTTCCCTGTGATCCCCCAAAGCTTCAATGTACTGGTCTAGGAATGAGAGAGCAGCAGTCCCTTAAATAACTGAGAGTATGTAAGGGAAAGTCCATCTGTCACAAGATGTCAATTTTTAAAAAAACAGAAGTAATTTCAGGCAAGGAGTGTCCCTATCTCATAAATCAGGTTTAGTCATTAGTATCTACACTGAGCTGTTTTTATTAAGAGCCATGTGCTTAGAAAGGGAAAAAAAATAAATCTATATGCTGATTATCTCCAACATCTCAGCAAGCTGCTGCATGTCACTCATTCCACTGAAAGCCTGGTCTTCATTTAACCTATGCCAGCGCAGCAGAAGCCTCTCAGGTAGGCGGTAACCCCCTGCCCTCCCTCCGGGTAAGCCTCCTCAGTGCCCCAGCGAGACACAGCAAATGACAGGAGGATCAGCTCGACCCCAAGACTTGAGCCTGCACGAAACAACTTACCCATTTTTTTGCCATAGAGACAGCACAAGAGAATCTCCCTGCAGAGTTCTGAACCTTGTATTATTTTCCCAGAAATATATTACACCATTATTCTTCCTCTTATGACAAACTTCTAAAAAGAGACTAACTTTTCAGTCTCACTGACAGTGGTGAGAGCTTTGCTCTAGTAAACAAGGCAGAATTTGACTACAAGTAAAGTAGCGTATTTTCTGAAGTAGTGTATTTACTAAGAGTTTTCAATGCTATCCTGGGGAAGTCAGGTAACATTTAAGTGGGTATTTTTATTAACCATTTTTTGTCTGAAGCCTTGGCTCTCGGCAGCCAACACCAAACAAAGCACAATGCCTTTGCCTTGCCTGCCCAATGAGGCACCTGTAAAAGTCATCCTGATGCGAGAGGCTTTACTTCCCTCCTTGGCAGGGAGTGCTGGGTCCCATGACCCAGGCAGAGCACTTTGCCAGGTCTTGGCTCACACAGCCATGTGATCCTTTGGTAAAAAGTGAAAAGCACAACACCTCCTTCCATGCCAGCACTGCAGCAAGTACCAACAGGGCCCTGCTACAGGACAGTGGCAGAGCCCTGAAGAGAGCAGCACTTAACAAACATACCAAAAGAGAAAAGACCCCAGCAGAAAGCTAGAGGCATGAAGGAAAACAGTGCAGAAACCCATGTAAGACCACTCCTTTTGCAGAATGTTCACTGCATCTCTCCTGTCACATTTAAAGGTCCATTATGTTTATGGAAACATAAAAACTTTGCAACTAGAATTCAAAAGGCCTGGCCTAAACCCTACCAAAATTGATGGGTATGTTTTAATTGATTCAGTGGATTCTCCCTACTTATATTCAGCCATCTAAGAGCGAGGTGTTTGTTTTGGCACCTAAATCCTTAGCCAGTGGGGAAAGAAAGGGATTTCCGCAATAGAATTCATTCCATATATCATTTTTTTAATTGCCACAAAGAGCAGGAGACTCCTCTTAGTTTTGCTGTCAATTAAAAGAAATTAAGCCTTTTCAGCCAGTAGTTCCACCTGTATTTTTCTCTTCCACACAGCAGTTTTCTCTCTTTAGGTTGAAACAGGGAGTGGCTGGGAGAAGAAAGCATAGTACTATGAGTTCCCATAGGATAAAATTACAAACCCATGGTACAATTCCAGCTATGTCATTCTCTGTGGCTCATTTTTTTTTAACCTCAGTAATCCTACAAGCACATCCTTCTCCTGGCAGTAAAACTACCTCACTTTGCTGTAATGTGCCTTCAACTGCCCTCAGGCAGATGCAAACTGTAAACAAACTGTCAAAGCTGTAACTGGGATATCCAGTTAAAGCACTTTAAATAAAAACTTGGACCATCTAGAGAAAACAGAATGGAGTAAGAGAAGACTGTTGTCCTGGGTTCAGCAGTAGCAGTCATGTTTCTCCTCCTTGGTAGCTGGTGCAGGGCAGTGTTTTGACTTTCGGCTCGGGAACAGAGCTGATAGAGATGTTTTGGTTTGGCCAAGGACTTTGTGAGCCTCATGCTCTGCCAGGGAGGAGGGGAAGCCAGGAGGAAGCAGAGACAGGACACCTGACCCAAACTGACCAAAGAGGTATTCCATACCACAGCACATCATGCCCAGGATGTAACTGGGAGTTAGCCGGAAGGGCTGGGAGACTGCAGGGTTGGAGGAGCTATCAGTCGGAGCTTGGTCGGGCTTGGGGGCCGAGTTATCGGTCAGCTGGTGCTGAGGTGTTGTATTCTCTTCCCCTGTTATTTCCTTTATCATTATTATCATTGGTGGTAGCAGTAGTGATTTGTGTTATACCTTAGTTACTGAACTGTTCTTATCTCAACCCGTGGGAGTTGCATTCTTTTCGATTCTCCTCTCTCCGTCCCTCCGAGAGCAGGGGGAGGGCAAGAAGGGGGGGGAAGTGAGTGAACGAATTACCTGACTGGGTTTAAACCACGACAACTGTGGAAAGGTGCTTTTCTAACACAACTCGTCCTTCTGCTCTGGAAGCCTGGGCTGCCTTTTCATGTGCTGTCTGCGTACCTTAAAAAAGCTCCTGCCTTATGACACCCTGAGTTGTTAACAGGTGAACGCCAAAACCGAACGCTGCTGCAGTCCTGCAGTGCCGAGCTCTCGAACTGGTGGAAGTGTAGTAAAAATCTTTGGGCAAAGAACTGTGTTGCAAGACACAGTGCTACTCTGGCAAGTATCTTCAGCAACTTCAGCAAAGTTACTGGTGTTACATACATTAATTTAGCAAGTTGTGTGGGCATTTAAAACCAAAAAAAACAGACGTGCAAAATATTTAGAGGGCTTAGACTATAGAAGGTATCTTATCATATTTCTCTACTGGAAAAAGCTGGATTTCTTGCCATTTTTCCCTTTGATTACATGGTATGGA